TGGGAATGGGACTTGATAAACTCACACTTAAGAAAGATGTCTTTCTGTTCTATGAGGTCTTGTGCAGAAAGAAGATTTTGGCTAAGTTCCCAAAATACTGAGGTGGTTTGAACCCTGGGCTGTACTGTGAGTGGATGTGATTCCTACTCATAACTGTTTCTTTCGCTCCACTTGCATCTCTTCATCAGTGGGCTGCAGTGGGACTTGAACAGAGGGATAAAGAGGTATATACTGTAGATTGTGGATTTCATTAGCATACTTGTTGCAAGAGAATTGAATTGAGAGTTCATCTTTGGAGGAATCTTGCTAGACAAATCTGAATTGCATTAAACATTTATCTCATACCTTCTGGCCTTGTCTGTATGATTTTGAGTGAATAATGCAGCTTCACAACCTAGTTCCTGTCCCTTTCCTCCCTGTCCTTCTTCCCAAGTCATGGAGTATTATCTGGTACATCAAACAGCTTCACAAGAAGACATGGTCTTACACATGATGACTTTGTGGCTTAACAAACCCTTCAGGAGTGTGTGAGAGATATGACAGGAGAAAATTGAACCTAGGTTTTCCAAAGCCTGGCAGATGTTCTTACTGCTAGGCTACCGAGTAGAAGGGGCAGCTGAGGGGCAGTGAGGACTGCTCATATGCCAATAAAGCATCAAGAGAGTTTTAGGTTACTGGCTCCCTGCAGCAAGGTAGGAAACCAAGCAGAGAACCGAATGCTAATTCAATTCCCAGTGTGTTCAGAAGCATAGTGATCTATGCGTGGCCATGTGGAAAGAATTATTGGTATATTTACCATTAAGTTTCTGATAACACGTAGCTGACAGCTACAGGTAGTCTCCTTGACTTTTTTTACTCTACAGCTGAAGCTGGTGGGAAAAATATCCCTTAATTTTGACCATTTGTTGTATGTATATTTCTTCAGACTGTAATGCCTCATAAATGTCACTTGTTCTGTAAATGGTCTTAACTGTTGATTCAGTTTAATGTGGAATATATAGATATCAATATATGCTAATTTGTAGGTAACATCTAGTTACATCTTTGTCTTTTTAAAATTTAATTTTATTTAAAAAGACAGTTACAAATTAAAGATCTCCAGTTGTTAAGGTCATTGGTGTTAGCAGTTAATGTACAACTTTTACTAAAATGTTTATGGTGGGTTAGCCCTTGGCTCGGGGCCAAGCCACACACACCCGCTCACACAATTCCCACCCCCACCCAATGATAGGGGAGAGAATAAAAGGGTTAAATGGTAAAGAGGACTCGTGGGTTGAGATAAGGACAATTTAATAACTAAACTACAATAATATTAAAAACAATACTATATACAAATATACAAATGAGTGATACATAGTGACACTGCCCCCCCACCTGATAACCAAAGGCCCAGCCC